GTGTTTGGCCATGCTTCAGCTTTTGAACCCGAAAAACACTTCTAAAAGCCGGCCAAACATAGAGATTCTTTGGAAGTCTGTTCCAATTAGAACAAAAGATTAGGGCTGAGAGATATGGTTATCAATTGGGAAAATTCTCTGTAAGGTACCTAGGGCCTAGGGGCATAGTTAGTAAATACTGCGTTTAATACACATATATATATATCCGTACGTATTTTATCCGTTTAAAATTTCCGTATCCGTATTATCGTCAAGCCGTTTCATTTCTTTTCGTTCACTTGATGACTCCCGTACTAAACACGTATAAAACCCGTATAATACGTTTAATATCCATATTTAATGAATTAAATTGTTAACTTTAATATTATTTATGTATTTAATTATTTTTTAAATAATTTATTTTTATATATTTAGGACGGTTACCATACTATTAAGGTAACATTAGTTTAGAGATAAAGTAAAATACGCATGCATATTTTATACGTAACTTTTCCGTACCATATTTTACTAACTATGCCTAGGGTCCTTCTGACCTTTGGAAAGCTCATTGTGGCAGCCCGCAAACCCCTGATCGATAAGTTTGTTTCCACAATACAGAGGTGGAAAGCACAAGTTGTTGCCATACGTAGGCAGAGTATAACTAGTTAGTTATGTTCTCTACAGCCTTATGCAATACTGGATGGCTGTTTTTTTTTTTTTTTTTTGCCTTCTAAAGGAAGTTATTCGTGAAATTGAACGTACCTGTAGCAACTTTATTTGTGATGTGGGGAATGGTCCTAAGCTTAGAGCTACTATACCTTGACACATATTTACCTACCCTAAATATGAGGGTCGCTTTGGTCTACGTTGATCTTGTTTTCTGGAACATTGAGTGTATGACCAGATGCATTTGGCTTTTGCTGATGCAACACGGGTCTTTTTGGGTAGAAATGTAGAATAGATTAAAGCTTATATACTTACGGTTCGTTTGCTTTTTGAATTTGAAAAATAAGGTTTTGGTTAAAATACGGGTTTTACAAAACCATTATTATATGATGGAATTGTCCCATTTAGTTTTTTGGTACAAATCATCGTTTGCTTGTTGAATTTCATGATGGATTTGACATTTTTATATTTGTGGTTGTATTAGGAATTTACCTCAGGGACCTTGTTGAGTATTATTTATATTTACAGTATAATTTTTGTTGCAATAATTTTCATCCAATAGTTTCGTCCCACTAGCACAATCGCATCAAATGAACATCATTAATCAATAACAACTTCATATTATACACACAATTAGACAATTTCTTAAGATTTTCAATGTTGCAAACTATGCTTTGAGATTAATCATGTAGTGCTTGCGTGCAATGAATAATAATGAATATTGAATACAAGATTAATATGCACTACAAGTTGGTCATAAGTAAATGAAAGAGGATAACTTGGTGATTAGTGAAATAAATAGGGTTAAAATAGTTAAAAGTCATCATGGACTTAGTACCCCAACACAAATTCCACCTCTTATGGTGGAATTCTCACGTCCATGATGTCCACGAATTTGGACCCTCAATGTCTGTGAGCCCAACGAATTTATTCCTTCTAAATCCATCAAGCAAACGACGGATTATGTACAAAGTCCATGATGCTTGGTTTTTACGTATTAAATACATGATAAATTCCATTAAACAAATATTCCATTAAGCAAATAAAGCATTGTGACCTCTCGCAGTTCAGCAGTAGTCTGGATTATGGAGTTGGTTCGCCAATATTTCAGTTTTAGTGATGGCATGGTTTGCTGGAACTATGTGCAAATGGAAGTGTTCTCTATAAAGAAAGTCTGGGATGGGAAGTGATTAGGCCTAAGCAGCAGAAGGTAAATTGGATGAAGGGAGCGTGGAAGGGAAAATCTATCCCTAGAAATTGTTTTATCACCTGGTTGATTATCAGGCAGTGTTGTAACACGAAGGAGAAAATGCTGAAGTTGGGGGTTTGCAGGATCCAAAGCATGTGAATTTTGTCATTTTCCTCTGGAGATCCTTTATCATTTGTTTACAGCTTGCCCTATGTATGTTGGTATATACAAAGTTCTGTTTGGTAATTAGTTTCATCCTTGTGTGCATGGCAGTTTAGAAGGTGAACTGAGCTAGGTAATTAGCAGGCTGCTTGTAGATATGTTTGTATTATAGAGCTTTTATATTCATGATACCACAAGTTTGAGATTGAGTGTTTTACATGTCGCCTTACAGAACTTTCACCTAGCTAGCAAGCGTCTCTTCTTGATGAAATATACCAACCAATTCATAAATAATAATAAAAAATAAACATATCAGGTTAAATACAGAAAATGGAATACGAATAAGGGGTATCTGAGAAGGAAATCGTGAGAAATGCGCAGAACCCTACAATTACATAAGATATTAGTTCCTCGTTTGCATGAGTAATTTGGTGTGAAATGAAACGTTTGTCAACGAAAAGTAAAACGAGTCATTTGCAAATAACTTATTTTTTCGTCAGTAGTTTTTAATCTTGACCCTTCTATTTTTTTCATAAACCCTATAGTGTCCAATTATTTTCAATTAATACTTTTCGATTATTTCCATTAATAATTTTCAATTATTTCAAGTAAAATAAAATTTTTTCAAATATAGTTGATTTTTTTTTTGTTGTAAAATGGTATACTTTGTAACCATTAAAATATGTGAAGAAAGTTTACATAAAATTATAAAACATAAAAAATAGTATTATTATATAAGGATAATATCCAAATAATTGTTATATATGCTGGTTGCAAAATGAATTTTATTTTTGTCTTCGATTTTATTAGGATAGTCAAAACAAAATAGAACTTATTACATGTAAAGGCAAATAAACTAATTGAAAACTGACTTATGTTAAACGTTCTTAACAAACAACACATATAGGAAATGTCTACATTTGAAAATACATCAAGAAAATGACCTGTAAAAGAACACTTAGAATCTGGATTGGCTAGATTTAATCTAATACTTTCAAGAATTTGAGGAAGAAGACCGTAATTTGTGATGAGCTTAAACAAGTACAAATTAGACATTAATATTTCCCCACCGACTCATAGGAGATTGTGTTTGATGCATCTCATTCACTTGCCAAAAAGAAACTAAAAAATTAAGGGAAATCAATTACAGCTTAATGTTTGTTCAAACAAGATGATTGGCTGCCAACAATACAATAGCAGATTATCGTACTAGTATTTACCCTTTCATCTTTGTCTTAATATTTACCAATGACGAATTCCCACAAATTTCTATTATTGATTAATCAATATAATTAGCAAGATCACCAGTGGCCAGAAAACCTAAACTTCCATTTGGGCGATGATTTTGAGGAAGAATATCCACTCCACAGACAAAAACAAGCAAAGACATCCCCAGCTACCTTCGTAAATTCCACACAAATCTTTTTAACTTAGAAAAGCAAAAAAATTAAATCTCTTCCCAGTCAAAGCATCTTTCCCCACTCCAGACCAAAAAAACTTAAAAGAGATCGCTTTCAAGAAATCGTGAAGAACCAAGCTGAGCCTCAACATTTCTTGTTTTCGTCCCAACTTTTTATGTCCCCTCCCGACAGCTCAAGGAATTATATATGCATACACAGCCCAGTCTTCTTCCAGCAATTTGTTTTAAGGAAATGAATGGAAACATGTATCATATATTGTATTAGTTTCTAGCTGGAGCTAGCCTATCCCTCCGGTCAAAGATTTCAGAGACTTTAACTGATTGATCAGAACAAATAAGTACGTACCAAGTTTCTGCATGTTTTTTTTTAATTTGCTGCGTATTTTCTTTCTCGATCTTTTGAAGATTATATTCTCCGCTGTACTTAGAAGAAATATTATAGGTAGAGAAACTGAAAACTCGGCTGCCTGTAGTTAAAATCGCGCTTTAAAAAGTAAAAAAGTTACGATTATACGTTTTCAGGTCACTAAAACGCTTGTATCATGGTTGTCATGCCGACCGGCGTGCCACTGGTTGAACCTGGTTCAACCTGTACCGGTCATAAAACCGGTATGACACCACCGGTATGACCGGCATGATCGATATACGAATCTCTAAGTGAAATGATCTTATATTAGTGAATTTATTTGATAAAAAGTAATTTATTATTTATTTTATGTGTTAAAAAGTTAAATGTTGATGTTATTTGTTGGATTCAAGTACAAATATTTAGGTATTGACGTTAAATGTCGTGCTTAAATATGAGTATTTGTAAATTATTTGTAATATTAACCGGCATGAACCGGCACAAACCGGTATGTACCACCGGTCGAACCATTCCACTTGCTAAACCGGCACAAACCGGTTTGACAACCTTGGCTTGTATACAAAGTCTCGGTTTTTATAACTTAATGTAGTTTAAAACTCCGGTTTAAAACTTAAAAACTTACGATTTTACGCTTCTAGATCACCAAAACGTTTCTATCGTAGAGACTTGCTTTTAACTATATTGACTGCCTCAACTAAGGAATCAGAACTTGTAGTACTACCAACCGAGAGTATTAGTTCACGTTATCAGACTGTTAAGATTTTGAGGTTAACAAGATGCTACCGGCCGGAAACGAGGATTAGAAAGATGTAACCAGCATATGATTTTTGGATATTAATGAAACTTCAGTCAGCTTTCTCCGCGACCGGCGGGCCAAAGAAGTTGAGCTCCTCAAATAAATTGATCCAGATAAAAAAAACTACCTAAGCGGACGGGAAAAGGGGAAAAAACATATCACAGGAAACTCGTTGGCGCAAACCATCGAACACCTTATCGGCAATTTACAGGGGTAGGTAAATTTCCGGGAAAACAAGCGGCCTCCTAGTTTGGATCATGAAATCATCCATGTTGGGGAAGTGCGCAGCTAGCTATAGTTCTCAGTACCGTTACAAATTAGTCAACCGATGATCAAATCTGGGGGCCGCAGTTGAAAATAAAAGGAGACATTGAATAAGGATGGGGGAAGAGGAAGGAGGAGAATGGCTCTGTTGACTGACCTGGAGCTTGCGAGATCGTAGAGCTTTCCGGTGCTGGAGAAGACGATGACTCCAACTTCGGCGTCGCATAGGATTGCCAACTCTTTCGCTTTCTTCAGGAGTCCATTCCTCCGCTTTGAGAACGTCACTTGCCTGCTCGTCGAATTGTCTATCCTCCTTATCTCTATTTTCCCTCTCCCCATTTGCTCTTTCTCCCTCGATCTCGGCAACCAAACAAAAGCAACAAACCGGCTGCTGGAAATTAAAGAGGGAAGGAGTGAAGGAACTCCAACATCAGATAAGGAGGGAACAATTAGTAAAGCGAGAGAGAGAGAGAGAGAGAGAAGAGCCAAAGGATGCAGGAAGTTTTACTTTGACCGCAAGCGGCGGAGAGAGGCGGAGGCGAGATTGTTGGAATCGGAGGAGAAATCAATGGAGGAGGAAGGAGAAGAAAGGGAAGATGTGAGGAAAGGCGTAAAGAGAGAGGGCGGGAGGGTTAGATGGATCGGTGAGTTTCCGGCGTGAAAAGGAGCTGGTTGTGGTTGGTGTTGGTAGTGAGTGACCAATGAGAGGACGCCTTTGTCGTTTCTTTTTGATTTGTTTTGGGATTTTGAGCCGTTTTCCTATAGATGACTGACGCGTGGGTTATACAATACATACAAAAGTTCGGAGCTCCGCGAGTTCCCATTTCGGCAAGTTTTTGTATAATAGGAAAGGAAACCAACACATGGAAAATGAAAAGACTGGACTCTGGAGCTGAGTGTGTGTGATACAATAAATAAATAAATAATTCATATTAAGGTTAATCTGCCACAAAAGTTGATGGTTTGTCAGTGACGAGTGGCGATAGCAATGCAACCCTCCCATACCTATATGGTACAAGGTTTTACAAACTCATAGGTAGTCAAAATTTTGTTTTAGGGGGTGTCGATTTAATTTTATTTTTTGTTAATTTCACTTTTCGTAGATCTGAAGCTAAGCTTAAAATGGTTTACCGGGAGAGATTGTTGTAACAGTACTGGTGTAGTCGAGTTAGAGTTAAATGTAGGTGCATTTGAGGAATTAACTTCATGCCCTTGAACATTTGGAGTTGTTTTATCCATTTTTATCAAGATTTCTCCATGGTAAAAACTACTAGGGGTCGTTTGGTTTTGGTAATACTTAAATCAATGCATTGTGGTCAATGCATGTATTGTAATATACATGCAATTGAGAAAAATGATGTATTGTATTTTACATTGTTTGGTTTTGATGATAGTCCCTTTAGTATTCAACATGTTATATTACTTTTTTGTGAGAAATATCACTTTTGCCCTTACTTTTATGAGAACATATACATATAACCAGGGGTATAGTTGGAACAAAAAAAGAACCCAAGCTTCTCAAAACTATCTCAACAATCTCAAATTTTAGTAGAGATAGTACTATCACTCATTTTGAGTGATAATTTCCATCACATCAAGCAAACAATACAATGCATATATTGTTTGTGCAGAAAATTAAAAAAAACAATGCATTGTGGACAATACATGCATTGTAACTATCTCAACCAAGCGACCCCACATATTTAAAAAATGGAGTAACAAAATAATTAATTGATAAACTCAATTAGATTCGGGACAATAACAATAAGAAACCACAATGACAATCTCTACCTAAGGGTTGGGGTAGTGATAATGGGAAATTGGTCAATTGGGATGGGGTGATGCTACCTATAGGTTACCTTTGTAGTGGAAGCCTTGAAGGGAATTTGATTACTAGATTGGTTTTATCTTTTCGATACTTTTTGGATAAAAGTATTTGTTTTAATATTTTTTTGTCTCAACTACTAAACGTCCAAGACCATAAGTACATGTGTAATTTTAATGGGCTCTCTCCAACGTACATTTATTTTCCCTTTGTTGAGCCCAAAGCAAGGGTGTGCATTGGCACCCTCTCCTCCTGTACTAGTTATGCCCTGCCTTATACCCGTGGTTTTCGAATACCCATGGGTAATAACCGCCCCATCAATTACTCATCATTAATAAAAGAATATGGTGACAAATATGTATAATACCCGCCAAAAATTACGAAACTAATACATAAGAGGATGAAATTACATTTTGTTGCCATTAATTATATTTTAACACTTTCTTTTTTCTTTTAGTTACGCTTCGTTACATTGACAAGTTACTATAGACTCCTTATATTTTATGTATACATAATATCCTTGGTGGGCGGGTTTGAGTATGGGTATGAGACGGGGAGCCCAAAACCATACCCACCTCATCTCATCAACCTTTTTGCGGGTTTTACCCATACCCGCCACATACTCAGTCAAAACAGGAATTCTCCGCGTTAACTGAGTCGGATACCCACGATCATGAGTTTGGTGGACCATCCCAATTAAGACATGAGCATATGGGCTTGAAGTATGCTCATGTCTGAATATCATGTTTTTAACAATGTTTTAGAAATTGTATCCTATCGCACGATCAGATCGAAAATACCGGGTACTGGAAGTTGGACCATCCCAAAATTGGGAAACAAAATACTAAATTTTGGATGTTGGACCATCCCACGATCATTAATTAAGGCTTCAACTAATTTTGGATGTTGGACCATCCCAATTTAGTGAAAGTTGTAGTACGTTTTGTTTCCTTTCTTTTGTTCCTCGACCATCAAATCAATGAAATTTACCACTACCTTATCAGGCCAAACCTCTCTTCCCTTAAGTATGACACATCATTGTTGTTTTCGACATCATTATCATCCATTGCTTATCACGCTAGAATTCAATACGAGATAAGAGATCACCAATAGGCTGAGATCAAGAAAAACAAAAGACTACAACAAATTGGACAACCAAGCTATTTCCATTCAAACTCAGAGCATAATCATCCTACAATCAGCAATGGCGTGGCTGTCACAAGAACTCGTCCATTCAAACTACAATTTCACACCCAATCACCCATTCAAACTCAGAGCACAAATCTACAAATATGACAGATCTTGTCATTAAGGAAAACTAGACCACAATCATCCTACAAATCGATGAAATTCAGCATCATAAGCAAGCATCGATTGGGTTGCTGAGGATGAATAATTATCTAGAATGGGTCGCTAGTAGGAGAAGGAAGACGGCCCGGTTGGAGCTTCTCTGTTGTTGGAATCAAGTCAGGGAATAAGACCTCTTTGTTGCCTCTACCTAGTAATGGGTTGCTAGCAGGAAGAGGAAGGGGTGCCGGCTGGAGCTTGTTGGTTCATACCTCATCGCTGCTGCTTCACATCTCGCATGCGGGCTCGTGGTTGTCTGGAGAGAGAGGAAGATGATGAACAGCGTAACTGTCGTTGCTGCTTAAATTCTCGAACGCGGCTCATCGTTGGTTGGAGGGAGAGGAATATGATGGCGGCGGGGGTTGGTGGTGATCTTGGGGTAGGGAACGGCGGGACTGGTGGTGATCTGGGGGTAGGGAATGGTGGTAGAGGGATATGGTGGGATGGTAGGTCGAGCGGGAGGTATAAGGAAGTGGCTGGAGAGTTCGACATCCGTTTCCTTCTAGTGTTGAGGTGGACAAAAATGGCAGCGTTTAGAAGCACTGAGGAAAAGGAAATTTTTTTTTGTCTCCTCCATGAATCGAACGCAGGGTATCATTAATGTATAGTGTACGTTTTTCGCTGGAAAACGGGGAATAACTCATCCCTTATTTTGGGAAAACATGTATTTATTGTTTTCCCATAGGTTTCTCATCTGTAACAACTGATTTTTTTCAACGAAAATGCACAAATGAACATGTGTTTTTGTCATTTGTTTCCATATTTTTATTTTTTAAACATATAATGAAATGGGAAGTCTTTCTATATGCACAAAATCATAAAATTAACTCGATACGAAGGCAACATAAACCATCTTTTTTCCTTCTAAAATTCAACTTGTGTTTCGTGTTTGTCGTATGTGTATATTAGTTATTATTATTACCCTCGAATTCGTGAATTAGTGATTTATATTCGATCAGGGTTGGTCAAAATAATATTCCTAACGTTTCAATTTATGGCAAAGCAAGTTCCAATAATGGTCAATTCGTCATCAAGTACTCAATCCCTTGGCTTTTGGCCGAAGCCACTTGGTGAAGAAATGAGAAATCCGGACGATCTAATGGTGCTTTGCCTTTGCCTAGCGTATCTCATTAACCCCACAAAGGAAACTATTTCCATTTTAACCCACCCACTGGCTCACTCTTCCGAAAGCAACTGCCTACCAAATATTGACCGGACATAAATGTATTAAATTTGCAAGAAATATTGGAGACTTAGATTTAAGTACATGATATATATAGTGATTTTAGGGATTGGTTTTCATATGAGAAGATATATTATAAGATCCAATATTTGCATTCCTCCCATCAATTCGAATTGTTCATTCATTATTGTATTATGAGTAACTAATTCTGAACAAATCATTGCCTTGTGAATGTCAAACGGATGAGGTTGGGGAGGGTATCTCAATACTAGCATTGCTACTCGCACCATGCATAGGTCAGATCGGGTAATACCCGTGTGGGTACAAATTCAAATTACAATTCCTAATTTATATAAAGTCTTTTTATGTCTATCGTCAAATCCCAAGGCTCAACCCTGGACAATGGTGGAAACTGCCAAGCTGGAGTACAGTAGGTTCTGAGGGAATTTCTGGTGGAACGGTGAAATGCGTAGAGATCGGAAGCGAAAGCACTCTGCTGGGCTGACACTGAGAGATGAAAAGCTATTTGCATCCCTACTTGTGAAGAGGACGGTCCTTCATTTGAGTTTACAATTTTATGTCTCATAATAATTAGGTAGGGTATGTCTATGGTGACATGCATGCCAACGTAACTTGCACTTTTAGGTCGACCTTATATAGGATTAGGTCGACCTAATATGTCGTTTCAGTTTGAGGTTCAACGACGTCGTTCACCTTTTATAGAAAATGGTCGACCTCTTGGGAAGTGCATGGATGGCATGTATGACTACATGGGCCAGATTTCCACCCAGATGACTGACATGTACGACTACATGGGGCAAATGACCACCTAGATGAGCACACTGCAGGTGACCGTGAATGAGATGCGAGATGAGTTTCGATCTTTTAGTGGAAGATACATGCATGTCACCGTAACTTCCAACTACCAACACCAATAAAGAAAATGTGGATGAGGGAGAGAGGGGACAGGAGTGGGAACTCGGCGATTTTAGACTGTGTGTTTTTATTGTTAAGTGTTAAAAACGATTGTGGATTGATATTATGTGGTTTTAGATTTTAGTTATGTGTGAACAATTATGATTTGTGTTTTACTGTATTTCTTGTTAGTTTGTTTAGTTGGTTTGTTTAGTTGTTATGTTATAAGTTATGAGTCCTTGTTATCATTATATATGACTGGTTCTGTTGGTTTGAAACGTAATTTGTACGAGCAAAAGAACCACCCACATCGCTTCCCAAAGAGGTCGACCATTTGCTATAAAGGGCATCCGCATCGTTGAACCTCACAAAACTGAAACGTCATATTAGGTCGACCTAATCCTATATAAGTTCGACCTAAAAGTGCAGATGAGGTCGACCTAATTCTATATAAGGTCGACCTAAAAGTGCAAGTTATGGTAACATGCATGTTACCGTAGCAAAGTCATAACAATTATCCATGCCTAAAACATTGACGATTT